TAATAATTTATGGTATATATCAAATGATCACTTATGAAAATTGCGGCTCATTATTTAAGGAAGTAATTAAACTATATTTTAAGATACCTTAATTACTCAAATCATGTGAATTAATTAATATATGGTGTAAAGTGGACGAATTTATTTTTGGTATTGATGATTGTTTCTATAGTAAATAAATTAATCAATATATGGTATAAAGTGAGATAATTTATTTAGGTGATTTTATGACTGGTTTTTTTGGTAGGAAATTTGTTGAAAACTTAATCAATATACGGTGTATTTTATGTAATGCGCATGCCAATATATTGGTATTTAGGCGTGGGTTTCAATTTTTCGTATGAAATTAACATAATAAAATTACCGTAACTCCGACAAAATATTATGAACTGATATTTTGATATAATGTGCGTGTATCGACATAGAAAAAGCTCTGATCAATTTCTTTTTGTATAATTAGTGAGTCTCGATTTAATTCATTTACTGTTATGACATTTCAAATATTTTTTTGTGTGAAACGCATTGTTCATTTTTTTTAGCATGATAAGGAGCGTCGATTTTTTTGGCATAAAAAATCTTATGACTGATTGTTTTTACTCAACTACTTAAATATTTCGATTTGGATATTTTATATAAAAATAAATTTATTTTATTTAATAAAACAATATAAGTTTTATATTTATACTCATTATTCACATAGATTTTTAAATATATGATAAAATTTTACCAAAATAATTATTTTATGGAATCACGTTACAGTCAAATTGAATTTTTGATTAAAATTTTTGAAATGACACATATTTTGAAACGAATATAATGTAATTTATTATCAGTTATGTGCAACGCGCGAGTTGTGTTCTAATTTTAAATAGACGTTTTTATGTAATTTTTCATAATTTAAATTTTATATAATATTTTCAATAAATTAATACAGGTACATTGTATTAATATTGATTCCATGCTTTTAATTTATAAATACTAATGAATATCTCTTACCCGTGTATCGCACGGGATTCGTACTAGTTACATCATAACAATAATGTGAAATCTCTCTCTCTCTCTCTCTCTATATATATATATATATATGAAGATTTGTATTTACCTGAAATAGTAACTAAAATAAATTTCAATTTTAACTTTATTAGTAAGTTTTGTTAAATACTTTTGAAAAGTGGCGACAAATCATTTGAAATTCAAATTAAAAAATCAATATAATTAATTTACCGAATCATTTTGGTCAAATATTGCGGCTATTACCTTTATTGCTAAAGTGTATAGTTTAAATTTGGTGTATAATATACTCACAAAAACTTGCAACTATTACCTTTATTAATTGCATAGTTTAAATTTGGTATATAATATATTGACAAAAAAAGAATTTTTATTTAAAATTAAAAATCAAATAAATATTTATTGATAACTTAGGGGTCAATATCAACATAAAATGTAATAATTAATGATTTAATAAGTTACTCAACTACTTAAAAATTTTTATTTAGATAATTTATACAAAAATAAATATATTTTAATAAATGAAACACTATAAGTTTTATATTTATACTTATTATTCACATAATTTTTTAAATCTACGATAAAATTTTACCAAAATAATTATTTTATGGAATCACATTATAGTCAAACCGAATTTCTGAATAAAAATTTTGAAATGACACTTATTTTGAAACGAATATAATGTAATTTATCATTAGCTATGTGCACAGCACGGTTGTGCTAATTTTAAATAGACATTTTAATGTAATTTTACACAATTGAAATTTTATATAATATTTTCAATAAATTAATATATGTAAATTGTATTACATATTGATATCATATTTTTAATTTATAAATATGATTTAATAAAAATTAATTAATAAATATTAATGAATATCTCGCACGGAATTTGTACTAAAATTTATTTATTAAAACTGAAAAAAGCAAACAAACGCAGTTTATTTATTCATATGTCATCACTATCAAAACATGAAAAGTAAAAAAATATTTGACCAATCCATAACTACCAATAACTAACTAGCAACTGTAAAATAAGAAAACATGTCTTCTGATTCTTCACTTCTCAATTGTGCCCATGGTCATGATCTCCTGAAGATTCGCACTCGCATTTCACACAGCATGCAAAATAACATTCAATTAGAAAATATACAAATAAACAGAAGACAAAAAAATACAAGCAATAAAGAAAAATTATAACATCCATTGCTTTTTTTTTCTTGATGGTGTGTGCTATGTTTTGTGATCAATGATCAAACCTTCACCTTTTTATAGCACAAGTTGTATGGATTATAATATGGAAACAAAATCACCAAATATTTTTTTTTTACTTCAACCACTAATAATATATTATAATTTAAAAATTGTGAAAATCAAATTATAGATTTATTACCTCTTATTGAAGAATAATAATAAAAATAATATGGTGTATATTAATAAATCTTTTGCAACTCAGCTCAACGATATTTTTATATTTGCTTCCTTAATAAACAGAAAACTATGTTGTTAAT